ACATATACAGAGTAATTTTCTCAAAATATGTACAATATGTCTCAAATGTTTCCCTACCACACCAATTTTATGACCATTTTCCTAATTTGAGAGCTAATCAAAATATCCCTATCATCTTCAAAAGTGAGGGGCTGTTTTCATTGTCTACAAAGTTAATTGCTCAATCTTGTAAAATATTCAATACTTTTACCTTGTTGTTTGATTTAATTTAACTTTGATAATATCAGGTACCATATCTGCTATAAGATTTAGCATAAATAACTATATTAATCTATATTAATTATGAAATTAAAATTAAATACTTTTTCTCTCCAAACAGAATATGAAAGATACAAAACTAATGTTAAAAAAAGAAGAAAAACAATTTGACCCTTCTGAGGTTTGAACCATCGCCCTAAGTTCCAATGCAGTTAACAGTAGTTTAGCCTATGTAAAAGCAGAGGTAATGCATTAGCATGGCCATACCGTAAATGTTTCGTAAATTCAGTATGAATGGACGCTTTTCTGAACTTTGCAAATGAGAAGAACTCTTTATTTAAGAAAAAAATGAAAATCTTAAGGTTCAGCACGACATTATTGTTGTGCTTGTGGTATTTTTAGTTTCAACTTTTCGGCATTTTCTACTTGGGTGGTTCCAATATTCCTGCTTGAATAATGTTGAATCACCCTTAGGATATGTTGCCTGCTTTTTAATTTGTCTTTTGACGTCTTATCTGTGATACGCAGGCTTCATAACCTCTGATCCCCTTTCAAAATTCCATTTTATTTAGTTCCGCCCATTGTTTTTTTTTTCGTTTAGGGCACACGCTTTTTATTACTTGGGGACCATACGCCGCTTTTCATGGAATGGCACTACTGTGTCACATTGAAGGTTCCATGATAACCGCCGTTTGAATACATCTGCGGATGTTTCTAAATTCAAAATTTTACTATTTCACGTTTAAATGTTGAATTCTGCTTAAGCCGGTGCTAGGGGGCATGGACGGTGACTTGCACTTTCCGGTACCGTCCATGAACAGGCTCAATCAAACCAAGCCTGCAACGTTTTCAATTTTGCCGTGTTGGGCTTTCTTTGGGGATTCTGTGTTTGTTTTTTTTAATATTGATTATTTATAAACGATTAGTAGTAACACAAAGCATACTTACCAAGTGAAATGTTTTTTTCTGCTCGAAATGTTTGAAATATATATACAAATGTTACTTACCCAAATTGTTAAATACTTGTCTAATTATTTCATAGCCTTAAAAATTGTTAATTAAATGTTTATTGCTTGCATATGTTAAATATAAAATTTTACAATGTAGTTTTGATTCTATTAGACTTTTAAGGTACAGGTACGATATAACATGTATTAGCAAATTCATGAATACTGATTTTAGGCAATAGATAAATATCATAAAATATTAAACACGTAGTTCATTGCAATACGATTCTGGGTGATTGATAAATTGTGTTTACTATAAAACATTCCACCGTATGTGAGTATAATCCAAGGGCTCTTAATTTGTAGATCCCTACTCCGACCTTTTATTTTCATAACAATTGATCAAATCACAAACTTTAGAATTTGTCGGGATCAGGAAACTATGCATTGTAATGCAGTTGACATTATAATAACCTGTTCAAATTATAAACTTGAAGAAAAACAATAATTTTTGTTTCAGACTAAAACGTGATTATTAATGGCAAAATTGTTTACAAGTTTAGTAAGCATAATAATATTCTTTTTGTTTAAAAAATTTAGGTATTTTGATTTTAGTATTACGACTGATGAAGGGTTTCAGATTGCTAGCCGTGACCTTTGACTTTTTTGCTGTTGATGACAAATATATGACTTGTTATTGTATGCATTGTGCAAATACATTTTAAGAATACAAAATATGTTCACCTTTTTTAACATAAATCTTAAATAAAGTGTTTGAAATGTCCTTTACTGGAAATGTGTGCAAACTTCAAAGTCGTTGGTTGGCATATTAATCAATAAAGTACATATGTAGATAAAACTGTTGCTAATTGTTTTGACCTTACTTTCATTTGGACCAGATTTTGCAGTTAAAGTTGTTTTGGAAATTGTAAAGGCATATGGTTCTCGTATTGTCATCTTTTAAACCAAACAATTAAATGTGACAACTGCGTTTTTCATTGGTCAACTTTACCTCAGACTTTGCATACCTGTTTTTTTTCTGTAATAATGTTAAAACATAGCAAAGGGAAGGTGATAATGCGCGAAACGATAGTTACGAATTCAATTCACAAATGTTTTATTTTTAATCTTTTTGAAACGATTTTAGAAATAATCATAAATAAACGGATATGCATGGGTATTTTTGCATTGTGTTCGTGTTACTTGTATCTATTATATAAACTTTATAACGTATAACTAAATACAATTAGATTTAAAGACATTTGAAAAGTATTTTTAAAATAACTCAAACGTTGATTGTTTTGGTCGCTCAAACATGTTATTTCAATGTGAACTCTGTGTGACAAGGACTATATTATTTAATGATATAAACTATAATGAAGTTAAAGATGTTGATAATAACTGCATTCTATTCTAATACAACGGTCTTAAAGATAACGACATATTTTTTTTTCTTCTAAAAACGTATCTATAACTTTGCAATGCGACGTGATTTTAAGGATTCAATAGTTGACGGCAGTTCTACTTTTTGGTGTTCATTTATTTGAGTTTTAAAAAGAAAATTAGTGTGAACTTGCTCTACCATATCCAAGTTCTCGAAGCCCAATATTTCACTTCCGTATGTTAGTATAGGTAGGACAGTGTGATCAAACAATTTCAGCTGCAGGTCAATAGGAAGGTCAAGGATACTGATTCTCATGTACAATAAGCTGTGAAAACTTTACCGATACAGCTAAGTATTGCGATAGGTCTGTAATTGACAGGATTTAGCTTAGATTCTTTATTTTTAAAAATAGGTTTTATACACCACGAATCAGGTAACATACCTGAATCTAATATAACATTGAACAGTTTGACATAGATTGGGGCCATAACCGCTCGTGTACTTTTTAAGTACTCATTATTGATGTTATTAAACTGGGAAGCAGCTTTACAATTATTTAATTTGGAAATAACCTTTTATATTTCAAATTTAGAAATTGGTTTTTTTAAAACATTATTATCTTCGATAATAAGGGGTTCTTCATTTAAAGGGGCATTGTCATCAATTTCAGAATAGGGCGAACTAATGTTTTTAAAATAGTCAAAAAGTTCGGAAGCAGTCGGAGTTTTCTCATTGGTTCTAGGTGTAATTTAAATATTTCCAATAGTCCCTGGGTTTGTATGAGCTCATTGCACGTAATTGTTATTTCATGTAAAGTCGGTCGGTTTGTTAATTAATATTACAAATAAAGAATGATCAATTATCTCATCTTCTTCGTATTTATTTATCTTAAAAATAAGTTAAAATTGAGTTAATTAATCTAAGAATACAAAATATGTTCACTTTTGTTAACATTAATCTTAAATAAAGCGTTTTGTTTTACGGGGAATGTGTGTCAACTTCAAAGCCGTTGTTTGGCTTAATTATTAAGGTATACTTGTAGAGATAAAATTGATAACACAAAGTTGATATTTTTATTTTAGCTTATTGTTTTAACATAACGCTCATTCGGACCAGTTTCTACAATTACTTTTAAAGTTGCTTTTGAAATTGTAAAGACATATAAGTATAATTGTATTTTCCTCTTCGAAACCATACAAAACAATTAAAAGTGAGAAAAATTCGATTTCCATTTGTCAACTTTACACCAGACTTTGCATACTTGTTTTCATTTTATAAACATGTTAGATCGTGATAATACGAGTATCGATGGATGCGGAATTCATAAACGTTTTATTTTTGATCCTATAGAAATTATTATAGATCAAAACTATACATATTTGCATTGGTATTTTGGCATTGTGTTCGTATTACTTTTTATCTATTATATAAACTTTATAACGTATTACTAAATATAATTACATGTAGATTAAATGACATTTGAAAAGTATTGTCAAAATAACCCAAACGTTGATTGTTTTGGTTGCTCAATCATGTTATCTCAATGTGAACTATATGTGACATTGGCTATATTGTTTTAATGATATAAACTATAATGAACTTATAAACTTTGCATTTTATTCTAATGCAACGGTCTTAAAGTTAACGACATATTTTTTTCTAGAAGCGCATCTATAACTTTGCAATGCGAAGAGATTTTAAGGATTCAATATTTGACTTCAGTACTTTTTGGTGTTTATTTATTTAGTTTTAAGATCAATGTTAAACGTCGCATGTGTCATTCACAATCACTGTCAAATGAACGTTTAAATATTAAGAAAAGTTGTGTATTGAGATAACACAATGTTTAAAACTTATAAGATACGTTGAGGAATGAAAATATCGACACACATAACATTTATATTTCAGCGATACTTCAACAATTTATATAACATGTCTATGGTTTACATAAGCACACCAAAATATTAAGAATATATCTATTTAGCGACGTTTACTAACTAATGTGGAGATGAATTCAGACGAAAATCAACGTTGTACATGTGATAAATGTGTGTAAAGGTTTTAAATTGAAAGAAGGTTTATCGACGTTTAAAATCGATTTTGAGAGTAAGATAGGCTTGGGGAATATTTGTTTTCTATACGGATCGCTTATTGTGTGTGAATTTGTTTACCTGTTTTGTTTGTTGAATCTATAGGATCGGGTAAGAATTTTCTACATGAATAAAATAAGCCGTGTCTTCAGTTCTTCACACAGCAAAGTAATCGAAAGAATCAATATGATATTGCATTCATGATGTACTAATTGAAAACTGAAATTAATTATCGTTTTTTTTTTATTTATATATATGAGGGATGAACGATGGTTTAAAATAGGCATTTACTATTAACTAGAATATATTATAGTTAATCATTCAAGAAGTTTAATAGAAGATATAATAAACTTCAAATAGTTTAATCAATACTATACTGTACATTAAAAACTTTATTGATCACATACACATTCACAAAATATAACAACCATTCACCGATGATTAAATAGTATGCGGTAATACGATTTCCATTATGTATTAGTTTATCAGACGTTTCTTCATAACACAAACTAATCAGTTTAGGATAACAACAGGACGAAACTACATTGTCTTCAAAGAGTTTTTGTCTTTTCAAATAAACTGTGTGTATCGTTTAAAAACGAAAGAAAGATTAGCCAAGTTTAAAATCGATTTTTATAAACATTCGCTGTAAAAGCTTAAAGTATATCAGTGATATTCATCCAGCGTATAAAGTAGATGTATATTTGTTAACACAGACAACTCGTTGTATAAAACAGGTATTTAAAGCTTATAAAGCGACAGGTAAGAACTTTTATATTGATTTAAATTAGTGTTTGCTTTATGTTTTTCATAAGCTCTGTAACGATTCGTCCTGCGTAGTAGTCTTAGTTTCAATATGATATTGTATGTATGTTTATATACTGAGAAAGTACTGAGGATAATTTTGTTATTGTAATACCTGTTACATGTTGTTTTTTATTCAATTGGATGACATATGATTATGAATATATCTTATAGAATCAGTTACCAAATCAATTATAGTATTTTGTTTCTGTTCAATACAGTTTCACATTCTAAACATCTAAGTTATAACATTTTTTTTTATTAAAATCACATACACGCACAGATGTTAACAATATAAACGTCTAAACATAACATTTTTATCAACCCGGAAGTTTAAAGAAAAACTGTTCTTATGCATCAATATAATAGTTTATAATAATACACAAGACCGTTTTTTACCATTGGTACTACACCACTAATATTTAACTATATTAGTGAATATATAAGTCTTTGAGACACGTATTTTTTAAGGAATTTGATTAACTCTTATGCTTCATTGCATATATAACTAACACATACATTAAACTGCTCAATTAACATCATTATTTTTAAACGTATTTATGCAAACATCGTGCAAGTTTAAGATAATCAAAAGATAATACAAGTCTAGTTACATGACATATTTTGGTATGACACACACACACAAACTATTATAAGTTTCAAGCGTGTGAAAACCGATCAACTAAAAAATGTCCTTTTAATTTTTATAATTTTTACTAAAATAGTTTCAATGTTTTGAAATAAATACATAATGTTGATTTAATTTATAAAAAAAGAAATATAATGGTTGGTTTCAGATAACGATAGTTTAATAAGAATAAAACTAGTGTCGTCAGTCATTTTATCTATGCAAATATATTACATAGTGTTTGAATGATTTTGAAGATTGTGACAGGTAACTCAAATCTAAGGTTGTTGTTATATTAGATATCTATACACACTGGTATCTTTGATAATAAATTGTTACATCTGTGTTTTTACAATCTCTAAAATTGTAGTTTTAAAATCACAAATGGAATACACAGAGATATATACTTTTAATGAAAATATATTTTATAATAGTAAATCAACGCGGAAGTTTTATGAGACATAGTCTAAAACTCATAAAATAACTACTTGTCGAAAGCATAATGAAATAAATAGTTTATTAACGAAATATACTTTATTCATAAATCAGACAATATTCAATGCAGTTTTTTTTTCTAAAAATATCAATATGTAAAGATAACTTTCCTATTAAGATTTATTCTTGTCAGTCATTTTGTATACACATATATTAGTTTTGCTTTTAATAATGAATGGTTAACGAAATTTGTGACAGGTAAGACAATATATTATATGTTTAACATATATCTGATTTCGAAATGCAAAGTGAAACAATCATACGATACTATTTTTTCGCTCAGTCATTAAAGATTTAAACGACACTTAAAACCACCTTAGAGAGAAGATTTAACAATATATGTCAGTCTAGATGACTGTCATTATGTAGACTTCTTCAAAAATTAACGTTGAAATATGAAAGTTTTGTATTCAGATCTAACAAATATCACTTTTACTAGACAGAAAAACATATAAAAGAAAGAAAAAAGTCATTTTACATAGATATCAATGTATAGATATTTCATAATCGTATATTGATTTTATACCGAATACAGATACAATAATGTTTTAAGTACGAGAATCAATTAATAACAACAAAGAAAAAAGTATATGTAAATTATTAATGATCAATATTGTTTATTTTGCAATAAAAGAAATAACGGATATTGTGCACTGTATACTAATTAATAAAGGATTTCATTCATCGTTACTGTGACTGATCTTTTTAAATAATTAAATGTATTTTTGATTACAATATGAACTAAACACATCTGCAAACTTATTAGTCCAAACAGTATTGAGCAATAACATGTGTTAAAAGAATATTCACTCGGTGTTATATCATAATCACCAGATTGATTGGATTTTCAAAATTAATTTAAAATTAGAAAGAGACTCATGCATGATTATCAAACATCGTTAATTGAGCGTACATATTCACCAATATTGCCAATGTTTTATTCTTATGGAACATATCTTGAATAAAATATTATAGTTAAAGTAACACCGCAATGATGGGTATAAAGTTAATTTCGTTGGTTTGCACAGGTTTCGGGAGGTTGTTGTACGTGTTGTTTAAGTGCCTCTTTTTTCCCGCACTACAATGAAAACGTGATAATATTGTGTTCTATTTTTCCTTATAACGCTTTACTTTTGTTATCTTTTTAATCATAACATTTTCGAATTATTCAATATACATTTGTAATTCACCGTTTACTGTAGTACGAATACGTATTTCAATTTGATACATGTTTGCGGATGCGTTTCAACATAACTATTAAATATAAATATCCAGCATGTTCTTTAAGTAGGGTACAAGCTTTTAGGTGTTACTATTTATTAGACAAATGTCATTCAATATGTTATTCCATTTCATTGGGATAATCTTCCGAAGTAATTACTACATTTTCAATATAAAACCTACAGAGTTGTTGCGACGTACCCCTTCCCACTAAGCAATGTGCAGTTTAATAAAATAAATACCTAAAGGGGATCCAGTAGATATAATATTCGAAAGATATTGATCATAGACTGAAGAATTATATGTAAAGTAGCATATACCTTGTCTCCAATATTTTTCAACAATGGAAAAACACTCGGCCCCTCCATTACATAATCTCCTTGAATTGTATGTGTAATAATCAGTACAAACCAATCTCTGCATAAACCTTTATTGTACATTTTAAGAATCAATGTGTCAGGTAAAGGAATATTCTTGTATGGAATATATTTGATTTCAGAACTGTTAAAAATGAAAACTGTACAAAATTTCGCATTTTTGTTATATTTCACAAAATGCGTAATCAAGTATTTTAAGGCATACCTTTACCTTTACTAACAAATAACATTGTTTCATATGATGACAATGCTGTAAATTCAAATATACACTTATATTTTACACAAATCTATTGTGTTTTACTAAATATGAACTCAAAACAAACGCTTAATACTATGTGTATACAGGAAACTATTTAATAGGTTTCCAAGCTACATTATCAAAACATGTTTTATATCATATCATTGTATAGAGCTAAGTAAGTTTCTCCTTTTTAATATAATTAATTATGATAGTAAAAATAGCTGGTTAGCATATTCAAGCAAAGACGAACGAATTTTGAAATTTAATGGCATTTTTATTGTAGCAGTTATTTAAGACTTCTTCTTGTGATCATATAATCATATACTTACAGGATCAGCGGCTTATATAGAGGTATTCCTCAAGCATTTACGCTACTTTTATGACAGTCTTAAAGAGTGTTAACAATAAACATGAAATATTAGTGATAAGTTATCATAAAGGTATGTTTGTATATACAGATAACAATTGATATACACAGTATACACTATATGTAAAGTTATTGTAAGATGAACTATAAATGAAAACTACTTTATATTTCATGACTTATAGGTAAGGTGCTGTTACAAAATTATGGAAGTTCCTGGTCAAAAAGTGACGAAAGACAAAAATGCCAAACTGTGTAGTTTATGTGAAGATTATGATATAACAAGTAATGCAGATGGGTTTTGCGTAGAATGTGGAGTCAACATTTGCAATTCATGTTTTGTGAAACACAAAGGACGTAAAAGCAATACAAATCATTCCTTAGTATCAGTCGATGATTCGAGTTCGGTAAAGGTAACGGTTGGTGATACGTACGAAACATGCAAAGAGCACAATGGGGAATTTGTGAAATTTTATTGTCCAAAGCACGACCAAGTTGGCTGTGCAGAATGCATAATTGTATATCATAATGGGTGCAAGTTAGAACTAGTTCGTAACAAAGCTGCTGCATATGATAACAGTCCAGAATATAGAAATCTTAGAAAGGAGATGAATAAATGCATGAAAGAGGCTGAAGACAGTCTATCATTGATAAAGAGCAACCGAAAACAGCTTATCGAGTTCTATGAGCAATTTGTTAGTGACGTGGAGGCATTCACAGATCATGTAATTGAGCGTATAAACAAAATGAAAAAGAAGGTTCTGAATCAGGCAAATGACATAATGTTGAATGACAAGAGGAAAATGGAAGATCTGCAGAAGGATATCGACGATATGATAGCTGAATTGACACGACAAAACAATGTACTGGAGTCAAAATGTGACACTCCAAATAACCTCTTTGTAGCATCCCTACAAATAAAGCCAGAACTGAAAAGAACGCAGCAGAACATTGATAGTTTTAGAAACAAGAATATTGTGACCCACTATAAGTTCATGCAAGACAAAATGCTAGCTCAATCAATAACAGAAAGCCATGCGATTGGAATGCTCATTGAACAGTCGTTTGAACGGAGTAAGTTTTGTGTTAACCCATTGTTGTCTTTTTATTATACATATCATATTATTAAGAGAAAGATAAATAAAAACTACATGCGTAACTGTTGCGAAAAATCATCACTTTAACATACTTTATAAAATTGTTTAAATATCATTTGGTACCTGTAACGATTTTCTTTATTTAAACATGAGCAATTGCCTCGATTTTGTATTAAAGTTTAATGCTACGTATTGTTCAGCTATTTTCGTTGATGATGATGATAATTAATTTACGAGATTATTGTAGTGTTATAAATATAATTATGATAATAGTATTATAATTATGCATTTTAGGTGAACATCATCAACAAGAATTTAAACAAGCTAATACAACTGATGAAGAAAAAGTTCAAGATCCCTTACCTCAGGTCAGTCGATTTATTAAAAATTTCCTTTAATGTGTACGGTTCCTTTGAGATTTTCAAGTGACGACACATGAAACTCTTTAACTTTCAGAACACACGAAAAAATAGAACATACATCAGCAAAATGTATAATGATAGACTGTTATTATAGCAACAATATTTTTAATGCGCAGAAATATAAAATGACTCATTGACTTATTGGCCTCATTGAAATGCCCACAACACAAAATATTAAATATGCTTCCCTGGACACGTGAACATTTTATGGATACTGCCAAGATATGAGTCACACCACGCCTCAGAATTTTCCGTTCTGTCCATAGAATGGGCTATCATGTTCTTAACAGTGAAGTTGTTACTGGTAAAATCCATGTTAGAATATTAATCCCCTGAGGAAAATACACGTAAATAATTTGCAATAAAGGTGATGTTCTGTAAACAGCTGTACATTTTCAATATATATGTACCAACTCCTAAGATGCATAAGCCGATACAATGAGCTATTTTTAGCTATACAGGACAACCTGATATCTATGTAAGCGCTGTTAACATAGATACGAAAATCACAGAATAATGGCTTTTTTAACTAAATTATTACTTTTTTTCCATAAGTCTCAGAATATTTTCTAAGATGAATTCATGATCTTGTTATAATAATTATACACTAGTTCTGCTGTTCTTGGAAAAATATTAAAAATTGCTTTAAAAAATGCTTTAAATACAATTGTCTCATACATTCATTTTGTATCAAGATCATTCAAAGAAATCATTCTAATAAGATGACGAAAGAGGACAATTTTTCGATTTTAAATATCGTCTTTATTTTAAAGTGTGCAAGCGCAAGCACAAAGTGTAAACAGAAACACACAGATTTTGGTAAGTTTTTTTAACATTTTTTAGCGAACACTTTTGATATAAATTTTTGATTGATAGGCATGTTTAATAAATACTTAATAAACGATCTTTAATAAAAATGTTCATATCCATGCTTAATTGTTCAGTTTGCTATATATTCAAGTCAACACGCACGGGTGATACTATATATGAGATTTCATATCAAGTCTTTGTAATTTGCATTACTTACATTGGTGTTTTTTTAATATAATTAATAATAGACCTAACATCATAATACTGTTTTCTTATGTCAATAGTATTTTGATTTATCTAATCTTGAGACGTGTAATTGTAATAGAGAAGGAAGTGGCAGAAACGTCTACAAGAGAACATACGATAGAGGCCATTGCGCCCAAAAAGCTTCAAGTGAGTTATTTAATATCTTAAATGTTTAAGGCAGAAAATGTGCTTGATGGATGAAATTAAGTGACATCTTAAACTATTTTGTTGTGATTGCAGTATAATATGACATTTCTTAAGGTAATTTTAACAATAACTGACGCCAACCTTTTAATTTTGTGTTAAATAAATGAAATAATATTAGTTTATTATAAAGTCACCATTTAAATATAAAATTCTGGTTATGATGAATTATGTGTCTTTGTGGTACAAAATTATAAAGAATATAAAATTACAAATATTTTAGTTCCAAAAAAATAAGTTTTAAGTTATTAACTTCTTGGTTTTGGGCATAGAATTGTGAAACTTATTTTATAAATGATACAGAACTTAATGGCACATATTTGGAAATGATATTGCTATGAATAAATGGGCATAATTATTATTAATATGCTAGGTTCTATAAGACCCCGACTATCCTTGTCAGTGGAATATTTTATTTCATTCTATTATCATGACCAAACTATACTTGTTATATTGCAAAAGGTTATCAGGAATGCTATCAATGATGTTGATCTAAACCTTACAGTTCAACAATAATAAAAAAATAGTCATTTGCCACATGTATGGACCATCTTTTACTTCATTTACTTTGTTGGCAACGGGTATAATTCTAGGGAATGAGAATTTTGTATGCAAGTCAAACAACTACATGTTGACATTTTTTTAAAAAAACATAAAACAATATGGACATAATGTGCTTGAGATGCATAAGCCTTAAATGCTGTTTTGCTACGTATGTAAAAAAAAACAATATTTATTATTCACCAGATGTACCGCATAAAAGATCTTCGGAAATATGTATATTAGATACTTATGCGTTTAAAGATTGTACAATTAATTCAATTTTCAAATAATTTTCTTTTTATTCAATTGATTAATCGATGTTAAAATGAATGTGTCATAACCATTTAGGCAATATAGTTATAATTTAATTCATGTTCAGATAAATTATATGTAAGTTCAATCCAAAATGTATATCCTATATATTTATAGTTTAAAATTAATACCAACAAGAGAAGTAATAGCAATCATGTTGAGGTATAATATACCGAATAACATGCGTGTTGAACTAAAACTGTTACATATATTCACTAATACCATTTTAAAAGTGCAAATACGAAACATTTTAATTCGGTAATTTAAAAATAAATGATCGATTTTATTATAATTGACATGAATTATCATTTTGATGAAGTTTGTGGATTTTATATTATGCATTTGATGTTGAGCCTACATGTACTTTAAGACTTTGCATACACTTTAACTGCAACACGTAAATAATTTGGTAATAACAAAAGGGATTATTTGATCATTAGATGGAATAATCTTAGAAGTTAAATGCATAATGCTTTTGAAAAGTATTATATATAGTATTAAACCAAATCTCTTCTTGTGTTTTGACCTGCTAAAAATGTTAAATATGAACAACACCCATCCATGTTAACCACTATTAGAAAATGCTGGGGTCTTTTAAACGCTAGCCACTTTTGGCGATAAAGAAGTGATGTATCGTCGTAAAAATCTATGAATGTAAAATGTTCATTCAAACAAGTTTTCATACAAAGAGCCCATATTCTGTCTGCATATAACAACATTAAATTGACACGGATCTGGTGTCTTCTAAACAACACAAAAAGAGCGAATGGGTAGTTACGTGAGGATTCAATTAAATGTATGTTTTATTTAAATGTTGCTTATCTTAGATAACGTAAAAGGTTAGTTGTTTATTAATAAAATGATGCCACATGTTATAATTTTCTTTGTTTAAATATAAGTGTAGCAATAGTTCATTAAAGTTCGTTAACGAATTAATTGTGTTTTTCATTTGCAGCCATTTACTCGACAGACAACTGGTTTTGCAAAATCTAAATATAGATGGCGAATGTCTAAGGTATGTATGTATACCACTTTAATGTATTTGATGACATTTTTTTTTCAAATCAATTATTTATATGTTACAACGTAACTCTTCAACAAAATGCAATAACACTTTAAGGACTCTATTTAACATGAAATATTTCTGAAATCTGACACAATTATTTATGTATTGATTTAGAAATTGTGTAAAATTATTTTTAAAAAGTGATATAAAAATGTATATTATATATATGGCTTATTTCATAAACTCACAAAAAGTAAAAAAGCGATACCGTTTTTAAATTTATACATCCATTTGTTTTCTTATAAACATGCTTTTGAAAAATATAGACACACGGTATTGCTTAAAATACTATGTTTATGTTTGCATTGCAATTTAGGTTAAAATCAACGTGAATTATAATAAGATAATCATCAGAACTTTATATAAACGTTTAAAATAACTAACGTTTGCATTACCATAAACATAGATACTAAATAAGTAATGATATTTGCTGTACCAGCGAATATGCATGGTTTTAAACACAATAAAAAAAACAAAAACCACTAACAATCAGAATGATAAACAGTGATTTGCAAATGTTTGCGAGTGATATGTGTGTTTTCACATTTTTTTACAGTTTTACGGCATATCAAAAGATCTGGCGTTGGATTGTATGTGTTCAAGGAGAATGTGCGAAGTGGATCATTCTTTGAATTTGAGATATTAAGCATGGGTAAAGCGGATCATTAGGTAATATAAATATCATTATTGTATATATATTCACCTTGCTTGTTGAAGTCAGTTTGTTGACATTTGAAAAGTAATTTCAATATTGCCTCGTTTCAATCACGATAACGTCATTACGCTTTTTGCTAAATTTTTACGAAATTAAAACTCTTGTTACAATCCCATTTTGTGTTCAATGAATTATCGATTTTATCTAAAATGTTACAAAGCTACATGTCTTGCATTGCCATGTATCGTTTCCTTTTAATTCAAATATTGTTCATGATTCATACAAATGTATTACCATAAATGAAAAGTTGGGTTAGTTTTTTTTGTTGTGTTGTTGTTTTTTTTTTACTTTCTTAATTAATGTTGACAAAACATGTTGATTTATTTCCGTCACAATTAGTTGTTAGAAAAGTAATAGAACGTGTAGTAAATTTTTATCTAGCTATTGGTTTAGTGTCGGACGACGGCTATCCAGAATAATCTTCTACCGGGATTAGGCCACAATTCGTTTGGAATACCATTCAGATGGAAAGTATGTATAGACAACTTAATTATCTAGTAATTAATTGATTGTTCAGTCTTTACCTATTGATTTAAAAGTAATATAGTTGTTATTTTGTCTATGCTTTTTATCATATCGTGAGCCTTTAAAATATGAACATTATTAAAATGCAATACATTGACAAAATTAACAATATTCAGCAAACTACAGTTAAGCCTTTGCATGCTGGAACGATTGTTGTTTGCTTCCTTCATGACTAGATGTTAAAGTTTATTTTTGCATGCGTAAGCTTTTTGCAGACTGAGGGTTAAATGTGTCACATGCGATGTATTCTAGTTACTAACTCTAGTTTCTTTAGATAAAAAAAAAACAATATAATGTGCACTATGCTGCTCCGTCATTCGGTAATTGTCCTCAATAGGAATATGTTGTGAATCTCATTTATGATTATAATAAATGTTTGTGTAAGTTACACTATATGGACAGTGTTTCTGTAGTATAAGCATCTGTTCTGTATTTTTCGATTCGAATTGTGTACTTTGTACTACAATTGCAGTAAAAGTAAGCATTTATACAGTAAGTTTTCCGTCTGCATTAAATATTCAATCTTAAATTGTTTTTGTTTTTTGTAATCTAAGACTTTTCAATGCATTATTTGTTCCAAATCAAATAAACACGCATCTTAAACAGTTTAACGGTTTTGATA